AGAGAACAGGAGAATGCGGCGACCTATTAATCTTCTCATGCCCAAAGTACTGATAAAAACCACCGTCAACCTGTACGCAGCCACTTTAGAAATCAGACCGAAGTGGGACTTAGCAGAACGACTGCGAGTAATGACTTTCAGGCACATCTGCGTAATGTTCATTCTTGCCATTCCCTGGGAACGGAATCATGTGCAGGGAACCACAATCCAGGCTTGTAAATAGCTCCTCCCTACAGCTAGAGCAGATGACTTCCACGGTGGGCAGCAGAGAACAGTGCAAGGCCTTCCTGGCTACTCAGCCAGTTGCCCCCTCCTCGACACCACCGCTCACTTGTTTTGGGGATGGCGGTGGGCAAAGCATAATGTGGTCAAATAACACCCAATTCAATGTATATAGGAGTGGCAGTATCAATTTCCAGGTTTTCCGTATATAGTATATGCAGGAGTGGCAGTATCAATTTCCAGGTTTTAGTCGGGAAGTCAAAAGTGTGCATCAGAGTCTACATATATCAAACCAGCCCCATTCAAACATTAAGCCCCTGCACGGACAGCTGGTGGGAACAGGTATCTTGCAAGATACCCCCAAAGGCAAGATTAAGAGACCTAGAAGTCAATTAGCTAAGGTGTAGATTAATGAATAGCCCAGGAACAAGCTCACTGGCCAGATGCATGCCAAATTCATCAAACCGTTGAGCAGATGACAGATGCTCATGCACCAAAAGCACTCCACAATCTGCTTGGCTATTATCTGCTTTCTAGTCCATCACAAACAGCATTGCACACGTAACCAGAGCTTGAATATCCCTACTTCTGGGAATTTCTTGATCCAGCAGAGACTCTCCCTGGATCCCACTTGCTCATGACATTTGTAATTGATGACCCTGATAAGGTTACAACTGCTCAGACCGCAAGCTCTGCACTTAGAAGAAAAAGAAAAGCAAATCCACTATTATTGCTAGATGAGGTGTAAGCCGAAACCTAGAGGCATACTGCTAGCAGGTAAAACATTCTGCCACACTGCCTGAAATTCCATCTCCAGAGAGTTGGGGGCAGAACTTCAGCTGAGCAAGGTCATCTCACAAGATCTCCTTTATTGCCTGGGGCCATTAACAATCTAGATCTCTGCATGACCAGGAAACTATTCAGGGCTAGGACAGACCGCAGCCCAGGTATTTACACAACAACCCCACTGCAGTTGCACAGGTTCCCTCCCTCCCTCCCACGGAGCAAACAGCTGCACCACAGGACCATTTCAGATCAGGACAACGGAATCAGGGAACAGCTCAAACCCTTCTCCCCTGTTTTGCCATCCCAAGCCAACAAGCAGCCTTGTATGGCTGTTGTTTTCAAGGAGAGAAAATATATATTCACAGATCTCTCAGAATTTCATCCAGTTAGAGCTCCGCTGTGTAGTCAATGGGCTGTGGACTGCACCCAGACTGGGATTTCTGATCTGTTTTTTGTTGTTGTTCAGTCGCACAGTTGAGTCCGACTCTTCGCGACCCCATGGACAAGATCTCGCCAGGCCCTCCTGTCTTCTGCCATCCTCTGAAGTTTGCTCAATCTCATCCTTTGCCGTCCCTGTCTTCTTTGACCTTCAATCTTTCCCAGCATCAGGGTCTTCTCCAGTGAGTGCTCCCTTCTCAAAGGGAAAAGTATTTGAGCTTCAGTTTCATTATCTGGCCTTCCAGGGAACAGTCAGGGTTGATTTCTTTTAGGATTGACTGATTTGATCTTCTTGCAGTCCAAGGGACTCTCTCCTTGAAAGGGATCAAAGGTTCTCCAGCACCATAGTTAAAAAAAATCTATTCTTCGGCGCTCGGCCTTCCTTATAGTCCAACTCTCACAGCCATACAGTGCACCCCTATCTCTCTCTCCGTCATGCGGAGCTTGGAAATGGTGTGTTTGTGCAGGGGAGGGGTCCTCATATTAAAGGGAAATCTGGAAACAAAACACGGGATATACATCTATGGCACATACCTTCTTCTTGATCATAGGGATTAGGGATACACTTTTTGGGTGATGTCTGCATAGTGTTTTCTTATGCCACCGATCTGGCACACTAGTGCAAAATCAATCGCAAGCACCTCTTCTTCAGAGACTAAACTCATTAATTCTGCTGTGCAGCTTCTGAAAGCCTGTAACAGACCCAAAAAGTGCGGCTCAACAGTTTAGGTTATCTATTTATATTTTATGAAAGGGCGAGGACAGGAAAGTTACATTCTGACACTGGAAAATTGAGCCTGGATCCAGCTTTTCTGCTGGTTAAAATAGGTGGTGGGGTCTCCCTTGATCATCCCAAAAGGCTACATGGGCATCACAGGACCTGCGGGGACAAAAACCAGATGGGATGGGCCCCGTAATAAGGAAGAGAATTTGGCGAGAGTGAGTAGAAACACTGGCTGTATCCAACACAGTTTCCCTATTTACAAAACTACTAAACATAAAAATGAACAATAAAAGCAACAGCAAAACCAGTCTTGGTTTCAAAATACTGTAAGCTATGCCTTACTTTGTTTCCATAAAGAAGTCAAACAAGACAACCAATGAACTTCTCGAAGGGGCCATGATGAAAAAGTCTCTGCTCTTTCACACCACCTAGTGCCTGATCCTTGAAACTGGACATGCCAGGGACTAGACCTGGGACCTTTTACATGCCAAGTGGATCCTTTACCACTATGACACGGCCCCTCCCACGTTTTTTGGGGAAGGAGCCATAATTTAGCAGGATAACACCTTCTTTGCAAGCATCACATCAGTACCAGATATCTTCAGTTAAAAGGCTCTTGGTTTTCAGGCAGGGCTCCTAGACTGACAGACAGTGAGCAAGACTTGCCAAGCTGGATCAATCCCCTGGCCCAGGAGAGGGCAAAAGTTTACTATGTTTAATTGTGACTTTGTCAGTGATGACAAGCAGCAAAACTATTTGCTAGTTGCTAGCATGCATGGGTGTTTAAAAGAAGGATGTGAATGCAAAAGGCAAGCTCCTTCAAAACAGCACTGAAGAGGGGTGGTAAATAACCTTTAATTTCCACATTATTACTTCATTGTGAATAACTTTTTCTGCCTAGAAGCAAACTGGGTACATCTAAAGAAAAAAATTACAAGGGTACCATATTAACAACCACTGATGAATACATGCATACTTTTAAGGGGGATCAGAGAGAGAGAGAAAAAAATCCTTAAAGAAGAACACTCCGCCTGCTCGACAATTAACCTAAATGTTTTACATCTAATTGACTGCTGTTCAGGTAGAGGGGCTCCATTAGCTTAATGGAAACATGTTCTTCACAATGATGCCGTAAGCGCGCCATTGGCAGGTCTGTGCGAAGGAAGGGAGGGAGGGAGGGTGGTACCCAAGGTAGCCAGACAACAAAAAGAATTTGTTTTCTGTTTGTGCTGGAAATACAAGGGATTGTTTATGACTGGCAGGGGGTGTTGCTCCTTGAAAGGGATCAAAGGTTCGCCGGATGACATCATCAGAGCCAGGCCACCACCGGGTTGGTGGGGGGAGGGAGGCATCTGGCTCCTAGGAGCCACCAGACTAATTATTGAAAACTTCAAAAGGGGACTGTTAGCTTCCTTCTCTTGGGCACTAAAAAGGGGGGGGGATCACACACCCTAATTTAACCCTTTCATCTTTGGCCTTTCCCTTTAACATCCCTCCCCAGTGCAGAGCTCCAAGCTGCTCTTGCACAGATGAATACCATCACAGAGAGCATTTTGGCATGAAATTGGGAGGGGGGGGAGGTCTAATCTAAAACACATTTCAAGGTAAGTTGCCCACATGGCTCCGGCCAGCCAAGGATCCGTCTTCTCTTTTTCCTCGGAACTTTTACATTACCTCCACTTGAGAAAACGTGAATGTCATTTCCTCAAGTCAATCTCACCGGTGGATTTTTAAAAAAAAAAACACAGAAATCGGTCAGGTTATGATATGCACAAAATGCTTTGCTTCGATGAAAAGGAGAAGACCGACTGGAAGAACAAGAAGATCGTCCAGCTTCCAAGGCGTCCGGGAGAAATTCCAAACACCGCCGGGTCCGAAACGCCGCCGCGGAGAAATCCAGGCGGGTGACACAAACCAGACGCCTCCACAGGCGCGCCAGAGCCTCCGCAGCAGAAGGAGGCGATCCCCCGCAGCCTTTTGCGCCTACGTGCAAAGATAAGGGTCTCCCTCCGACGGCCCTCCTCCGCTGCCCTTTCGACTCTGCCCGCCCGAGACCCCGACCCAGATTCCAGCCGCTGCAGCACCCCCGCCCGAGCAAAGGCTACGCCGGTCTAATCGCCCCATCTCCGGCAAGGAGCCGCCTCCTCCTTCGCCCCGGCTGGAACCTCCCCGGAGCCAGAGCGGGCTCGGCGCCCCAGCTTTCCGCAAGCGGCTCCGGGCAGCGATCCCCGCCGCAAACCGCAGCGTCGCCTTCGCTTCTCGCCCCCTCCAGGGAGGGCCGGGCGAAGGAAGCCTGGAGCTGCCCCCCGGGGCTCGGCCCCCCAGCTTCCCGCAAGCGGCTCCGGGCAGCGACCCCCGCCGCAAACCGCAGCGTCGCCTTCGCTTCTCGCCCCCTCCAGGGAGGGCCGGGCGAAGGCAGCCCGGAGCAGCCCCCCTCAGCCCACCCTTGCGTGGGGAGGAGGCTGGCCGCGGTGGGGCTCCCCGCCGAGGAAACGCGCCCTGGACACGGCTGCCCACCTTCCCATGCAGCAAGAGCCCCAGACGTTGCCGACTTCTCTGCCTCATCCCCCCTTTCCTTTCAATCGCTGCTTTCGTTGCGAAAGGTCACTTTTGAACCGCGTGAATACCGGAGAGCGGCTCCTCTGAGCGCGTACAGAGCGCCGCGGGCGAACGCCTGGCCCTGAAGCGGCGCAGCCAAAGGCGCCGCGTCCTCCCCAGTCTAGGCATTTCAAGGTTCAACACGCAGAAAAAGAGCAGCCGAAGAAACCGCTGGCTGCGGCGGCGGCGTTTCCACATCTGTAGGACCCCCGCCCCCCCAAGGCCCACTTACGTGTCAGAATCATGATCTCCCGCTTCTCTGGCCGCCTCGAAAAGAGACGCGGCGCGGCCAGCTGCATGCAAGGAAGCGGCGGCGTCCCAGGATCGCTCCTCGGGGCAGCGCCTCTTTCAGCTCATCGCAGCCTCCGCCGAACGCCGCCCTTCGCACTCGGCGAGCCCTTCAGGCGCCAGGCAGGCAAAGGCGGCGGCCGCTGCTGCTGCCGCTGCTGCTCCTCGGGCGGCTCCGGAGTC